TTTTTTTTGTTTTTTTTTTTTTTTTTTTTTTTTTGTAAATTTTGATACCCTTTAGATCATAATTGTTCTTTTCTTATTTCATAAATTACGGTTTCATATTTTTAATTTTATAATTTTCTGCATGCCATCTTACCAAATTTAAACTAATGATCTATAATCCGGAAAAATCAATAATCCGGAATCGCTGAAGTCCGGACGAGTCCGGATTAACGACTCTTGACTGTACTATTAGCAAGTGACTGTTGTTGCAAAAATGGATGAGTATATATAAATCAGTTAAGACTATTTTAATTTCCTTGTAAAGGAATTTCTAACATAAAGGAAGTATTGTAATCGTGAAAAATTTTGACTATCATATTTGAACAGAAATATATCATAACAATTCAAATTCTCCTTAAGCTCAGTTCTCTTGGCCTGTGAAAAACCACCTGTACTACTCCACTAGAGAACTCATACAGAAGAACTCTGCAGGTAATACATGCTGAGTTTGTAGATCACTTAGAGGTATTTCTACATTACCAGAAGTGCACTGCTAGGAGATGGCTCTGCATTGCACCCTGTGGATTGTTTTTTAGTTTTGCTATTCTCTTTCATTTTTGTTTGTTCTGTCTGTATTTGTCTTTGTAATCCGCCATTAGAAATAAAATTTTAAAAAAATCAACAAAAATATCCATTTTGACCATTCCTGTATCCATTCGAGCAATTTTCTTGTATGATGTCTGTGCATATGGACAGAATAAAGGACTGTTTTTTTCAAAGTGGATTTAAAATTTCTTTAAATACCTTTACTATCTGTATGTACATATGTATAAATGTTATGCATGTATCTCACTTAACTCAAAAACGATTAGACATAGAACATTGAAATTTTGAGTATGGGACTGCAATAATATTTAGTTGTTCATTTTTCTTTTTCTTTATTGCAATCGGCAGAACCAAACACATACATACATATATATATACCCACCCCCTTATTTGGCTTAAAAGTCTTTACCTGATCTTTATTTTTGAAATTGTTAGCCATACTTATATAGTTATATACTTCCAATTACACAAGTGTTTTAAATGGTGAAATTTTTCCTGTTTTGGCAATGTAAAATTAAAAAAATCAATTTAATTTTCAACAAATAACGAAATCTAACTTAATGTGGTCTTCCAGTTTTTTATACATATATTTGGGAAAGTTTTATACTTGTTTATGAAAAAAATAAAGTTAGAAAATGTTTGACTCCTCTATGACAACTGGGATATTTTAATTTCAAATTTTGCAATTTTTGATATCATCTTTCAACTTGCCTTGACAGATTGGTTATTAAAATTAAAATAATTTGAGGAAATAAGTTTAAATGAAGTGTAGCAAAGAATGTATATAATTTAATAGGCTGTACAAGAAAGTCATGGTGACCATGTCAGTTTTTTTTTTTTTTTTTTTTTTTTTTTTTTTTTTTTTAAGTGTCACTCTGTGTATTTAATATGCACATCCATGCACAGACATATATATAGACATAAAAAAAAGAAGGGGAGGTCAATTATTTGGATTTTTTAAATTATTTGGATAACTTGTGGTCTCAGTTAATCCAAACAGTTAGAATCAGAAAGCATGGCTTTAGAATTTCTAAGTGTCTTACGTGAGGCTTAGCAGGAGGGAAAACTATAATTTATTTGATAGAGTGTGACAGCTATGTATGTCGGTGTTTTTTGTTAATCACAGTAAAAGTATAAACATTTCTTAACTACATTTTTTAAAAGGGATGCAAGTGTAAAAATCATTTGCACTCTAATTATTGATATAATTTAGAAAGTCACCAAATGTATGTTTTTTCTTTCCCTAAAATACCATATATTTCTGAATATCATCTGATCTGTGTATAAATTAAATAGTAAGATTTTGCGAAAACGGTCAAGCCAGAATTGAAAATCCATGTATAATCTGAATTTAAAATCATCCTACCAATCTAGCAATATATTGTGAAAAATTCAAATGATTGGTTGTCTAACATGGCTAAATCTATCAGACCTGCTGAAGGTAAATGCATAGTCTTTGTCTTTTCAAAAATTAGGCTGGAAATGATGGTCTGATCATTCAAAAAATATCATGTCAGCAGTGCGAGAAACAGAATGGGATGTGATGTTAATAATGAAACAGAATATTTTGCCATCCAACCAGGATGTAAATATAGCAGAGATTTCTAAGGATTGTTAGAAAATTTCCACTGGATACAGATATTGAGAAATTTAATTGATGTACATAAGGAGTAAATAAAATAAAATTATTTGCCGTTAATTTAATATTTTTTTTTTCAGTTATACATTTTTCTTTTCAAATCAATCTTGAGTAATTTTAAACTTGTATATCATATAAGCTGGCTCAAAAACATCGGTAGTAAAAAGATTTGTTAAAAATTCTGAGCTTGTACATGGAAATATATGATAGTTGTTTCAGAAAAATTCAGTAAAAATCATAAGTAGCATATACCTGACATTTTATTATATGTATATTTGCACTTTTCCAGTTATTTTAGATATATTCTGTTATGGTTTGATTTTGAATTTATTGATAAAATCAAGGGTAATTTGTAATCATAAAGAATCTAATAGTGGGATTAACATTTATCCTATATTAAAGACTAAAGTTGTAGTAAATTAATCATAAATTGTTCAATTAAATTGAGATGTCTGAAATTTCCTTAAAATGAACCCTTTAGAATTAATTTTGACTGAAGAATTAAAAAAATGAAAATTTTCATGAAAGGAACATTCATAAATATCTGAAGCTTAAAAAGAGTGAAAAGATTTCTTGGTTGAAAAAGCTAGGTTGTCTAGAATTTAGCTTTGTTTTAAAAGGGTTCCTCCACCTGATCTTTGTAAAACTTGGAAAATGGGGTCCTGTACATGGTTGACATAAATGAAAACCTAGTTGTTTGGCAGTTTAATCGCATACTTTGTGACATGTTTCTGGCATTTGGCAACATTGCTGTGTCATTTATCAAATTGTTTATTTATCTTGACTTCATTTGGCAATTCTGCTGTATAAAATTTAAATTTATAATATTTTGATCATTATAAGCACTGTATTTTTCATGCTTTCATATATACAAGTCAGTACAACTTCGGTAATTTGATAACAGTATCAAATGATAGCATTAACTGTATCACATTAAGCACCACCTTCTGTATAAAATAAGCATAAATCTATTATAATAAAGTGAAAACTCTATATGGTGCCAATTATGGTGAGAGAAATATAAAGATAAATCTTATCTACGTAACATTATTTTATATTCTATACTGTAATAATAGTTTTGCAGACACCTCCTGTTTTTAACATAAGTGGTGAACTGATTAATAGCTGGTGATTTGATCAAAATATCATATAATGTTCAGTTTATTTATTTGAATAGTTTTTCAATCCATTAAATTGGTTATTGTAATAATTTCTTATTTTTTTATGTGTTTAGTACTTCTTTATATTGTAATTTTTTAATATCTTCTTTAGATATTTTTATTACTTTTTTATTGTCCTTTATATAGTAGTGCAAATTAAATTGTGCCGAAGTCTTATATAAACTGCCTAAAATTACTGCCTCCAATTACTCTTAGTTCTGCCACAACTGAAAGCATAAACTTTCTTAATGAATTTATTGCAGATCATTGCAAAAATATATAATTTGTCTCTTTTAATAATCTAAATAGCTGGTACAGTGTTTGCTAACTTATTCTTTAATGAGCTTCCCTCTTATTAACTCTTTATTCATAAAAAGTTATTCTATGGTACTTATAAAATACAGTCAAAAGTCTTTAATCCGGACTCGTCGGGACTTCGGCGATTCCGGATTATCGATTTTTTTTCCGGATTATAGATCATCAGTTTTAAATCTGGTAAGAGATGGCATGCAGAAATTATAAAATTAAAAATATGAAACCGTAATTTATAAAATAATGAGAAATTATGATCTAAAGGGTATCAAAATTTACCAAAAAAAAGAAGCCTAATATTTATTTGTTTTTACTTTATTAAACATTTCTTTCAACGCGCGGATGCGTAAAGCATACCTTACGCGTAGCCGAAATTAGAAAATTGCAACCAGAAAAACTATTTGATTTGTATTCGTGATATTTATAATGACGACGAATTTGATTTTTAAATCATATCAAAGACGGAGTACACCGAAATTAAATACTACATTTAGTAAGGAATTATAAGCCGAATAAATAAAAACATCTGCCCTGAAGATAACGATAGTGTTGAAAAAAAAAAAACTTCCAGTTCATTGCGCGCGCCGCGACGTCCCCCCCCCCGCAGCAGCAGCAGCGTGAAATTGATAAACAGATTTCGGAACGGTTAGATAAACAAAGAATATGCCTTTTTATTTTTTATCATTTTTCCTTTTTTTTGTAGCAATTCATTTTTTGTTTGATGGACATCGAAACATACTTTCGTTTTCTAGATCCTTTGGGAGCTCCAGCATCGGAAATTCTATTTGACATAATCGAAAGTTCAAGCTTACTTTTTAGAAAATTGCTCTTACAGTCTGCAAAAAAAATAATAAGCCGGATCCAATTCGAAGATTAAAGAACAACGCAATCATCAACATTAATTGAAATAGATAATTAGATAATTTTAGCTTATACCGTCCGTTATATATTAAACGCGCACGCGAAAACGTATTCTGCACTTGCGCAGACGCATATGCGCAGTGGTAAATGTCTTGCGCGCACGAGTAAAACGCCTATGCGCATGCTTCAATGCGGCGCATGCGCAGAAAGATTTTAGCTTTGCGGTCCGGATTATAGATCATTCCGGATTATGGGTGTCCGAATTAACGACTTTTGACTGTATATTTTAACATGGTTCTTCTGTAATGAAGAATTAACTTTATTCAATGACAGTTCATTTTCTTTTTTACTCTTCATTTTAGAAGTGAGGATTATATTTTCTGTTCAACCTTTTTATGTGTATTAAAATGACATAATTTTTTGGATTCTTTATAGTTTTTGCAGAAAGGATATGCAACTACTTTCAGCCATAACAGGCATAAAGCAAATTGCTTGACAAATATAAGAAATTTTCATGTCAGTTATCCAAGATCGGATTTAATGGAGTTTTTTGATGACCCTAAAAATTGGGGTGAACAAGAAGTCAGAACAGGTATATTATGAAATATTTTGATATTCAAATAAAAGTTGGCGTATAAAATATTTCATGTTTGTATTAAAAATGATATTGAAACACATATTATTACTTTGAAATATTTAAGAATTATTTCACCATATTGAATTTTTAGAGTTCATTCATTACATTAGAATACAGTGGAACTTCAGACCTGAAACAAATTCAATTCACCAGCAAATTTTCTGAATGAAAAATGTCTCACATGGCAGATGATGTCTTGAGATACAAACAATTAGGCCAGCAGCAATGAACTCTAAAAATTTATATTTATCTCCATTTTCCTGTATTTTCTAATGCTTTCTTCTTTTTTCTCTCAAAGCCTGTTTGATTACTGCCGCCAACAGTGATGATGAAATCAGCATATCCTTGAAAAGTGACATCATTCCCTAACTTTAATGCAGTATTATCCGTGTTCCACAAAATTTGACCTAAAGTAGATCCTTAATGTGTGCCTTTGTAATGTGACTCTGTGCTAGTAGTTTATCTAAAACTTTGCCCCACCTGGAAAGAAGGCAAATTGGTCAGAAGGCACTAGGATCTGATTCATTTTTTCCTTTTTACTTCCTTGTACGAAGTTTTTGAAATTTTGTATATAGGACTGCTATAACATGTAGATGTGCACCTCGTATTTTGGTTGCAATCGGCCGCACCGAACGTATATAAATATTATATTTATATATATATCCACTCTGTTACCTACCCGGCTCAGTGATCTCAGTTTCTTCTCAGTTTCTTTACTCTTATATGTTTTGTAAATTGTGCATTTTTTTGCTTTAAAAATTGATTGAATTATGTTGTTCTTCATCTTCCGGTTAAGGTTTTGTATGCCTTTCGTAAATTCTGGCAAGCAAGTATTTGTTACAATTATCAACAATTTAATAAAAAGCTATTCAAATGTGGTTAAGCCTTTTAAATAACATGGCGGACAAATTTGTTTACATTTGAAACAGCAGAATTAGTAGATTTGTTGCCCAATCTGGAGAGACTAAGCTTCGCAACAACAAAAATAACGCCTTCATTTATTATTGCAAATTAAATCATGCTTAATCCTTTTCTTTCTGGATATTTTTCGAGGAAATAAGTGTTTAAGATTTACTTAATTTTTTAATAATTAGTAATTTAATTTTTAATAATTAGTAATTTTTAATACAGATATTTTGAGCTTTTTTGTATTTTTGTCTTGTCGCGAAGTGAAAACTGAATTAATTGAATGAGAAATACTCAATCGTCTGTGAAAAACTGTTCTTTTTTATTTTGTTTGCTTAATTTCCTTTTTACACCGTTCTAGCTTTATTACAGTACATATTTGAAAAGAACATGTGGCAATGATTAGATAATTCTTTAAATGATATACATTTTGTGCATTCTGAGTATATAATATGAAATGAATATAATACTGTTTAAGTAAAACCTAGCGCAAGAGTGTCACTCACTATGGCAAACAAAGTGAATTTTAAAGAATGCATTTATTCAATTGTGGTTATGCACTGTCGGCGAAGTAGATTTAATTAAATCCAATAAGTTTAAAAGAAATGCGAGAAACATGCGTATAATTTAATATTCCGTACAAGGAAGTCATGTGGTGTACACATCAGATTTTTTGATAAGTGGCACTAGTGACTTTTAGTCACTCAGGAAAATAGCTAAACTTGAGGCAAGAGTTCATGATATGTAAGAAAAGTATGCTATTTGCCAGGTGAAATTCTTCAAGTAATTCTAAAGTAATTCTATCGATACCTGGTGCTCTACTTTTATTTGCCATTTAAAAGATTATAAGATCTTTTCTCCCTCCTTCTGACATGCCTTCATGGTGTAACGGTAGTACATTTGGCACATATTTGACAGGTTCAAGTGAGGGCATTCCTTATTTTTCACATTTTTAGCATAAAAAATTCACATTGAGTCTACAAATGACACCCGAACTAAAAGGTGATGGACAATGATTTTTGTCACCACCATGATTTGGCGATTGGGTTCCCTAATTCCCAGTCGCCCTTTAAAAAGGGGAGTATATAAGGTATTTCCTCCCTTCTTCTAGCATGCCTTTGTGATGACAGCGATATGGAGTGTTCCTTGCACCCTTCCGTATCAGCCGATAAATACGGCAACTTTAAGTTTTTTGTAGTAGTGCAGAGGGAGTACAGAGGCCGGCTGTTTGAGGAGTAGTAAGCTCATTTGAAATCTTGAAATGAAGATCAATTTTTACTGCTGAAAGTTCTTGATGAATATAGTGAGAATATTTAAGTGACATGGGCAACTAGAATCCCATAGGATAAACAAACGATTACCACATTGGTGACATCTTGACTTTGCTAAATCAGGCCATGTGAAAAGTTTGCAAGTACTTTCAGTTTTGAGGGCTAACTATCTCAAGACCGCCATACCAGAATCTATGGATTAAATCGATTTTTAACCTCCTTACCACAGATGAGTAATAATTATAGATCATTTTATAATTTTGTTTTTTATTTATCATTCGTATTTTATTTTTTTAGCAGAATTTTTACTTTTATTTGGGCTTAAACCTTGCACAATGTCTGATGTACATGCTGTCCAAATTCCGGTTTATAACTGATCAGACCCATCCTTATGGTTTATTATGTGTGAACGTACATTTGCTGTTGCCACCCACAAACCTATTACAAAATCAATTACTAAGTATAATTATGTAGTTGCTCGTCTTCCTCCAGATATTGCGTCATTAGTTCGGAATTTACTTGTGAAACCAGACCCTACTGATCCTTCTACAAACTTAAAAACTGAGTTAATAAACTGATCGGGAGAATCTTCACAGCAAGAAATTCACCAGGTATTAGCTGGAGAGGAACTAGGCTCTTGAAAACCGTCAGATTTGCTTAGGAATACAAAACAACGAGTGGAATCCGTAAATGATCCCCATAACTTAATATTAGAATTATTCCTTCAGCATTTTCCTTCTGCAGTTCAGTCTGTTTGGCAGTGTCTGGGGCATTTAAGACCATCAAGAAGCAATTATGCATCCCCACTTCACATGGTTCCAAAAAAAGGGAACTTTAGCATGGAGATCTGTAAAGCCCCGTTCACATGCAACGCTCCTTCGCACAGCTGGCACAGCTGCCGTTAGCAAGGGGAGAAAAAGGAGACATGAAAGAGTTTCGTCTTTAGGAACCCGTTCAGAAGACCACCGTCTTCCTTCCCCTTTACACCTAAAGCCTCTGTGAACAATCACGTCTCCGAATTGGCAGATTTCTAATACTGTTTGCACATTTTTAACGTGGTTTACTGTTATTAATTTTGTAATCTGTACTTTCGCAACTGGTACCTGAACTTTCGTAATGGTTCCTGAAAAATATATGCTTTTTAATTATTATTATTATTTTATAAGCTGTTATTTAGTTCACTCTTGGTGCTTGTCGCTATGGTTAAAAGATGGTAATGGATTTTTAAACTGCTTCCCGATAAAATATATAACTCAAACTTTGTACATACACTGCTTGTGAATGTGGTGTCACGCTTTTGATTTTTAGAGGATTAGATTTTTTTCAAATTTAAAGTTGAAACGACTTTTGCAAATATTAACTAATAAACTGAGAATCTCAGAGTATTATAGTTTGCACCATAACACACTGTGGAAGAAAAAAAAATTAAATGAAATTTTTAGCGTAATTTTAAAAAAAATATTTTGGGAGAATTTTTGAAAATCGTTCATATTTTAGACTTTTTGACGCCCATTATTTTAAAATTTCATATCTAAAAATATATCGGTTACAACTTCCGACATTTTTCACAGCTTATAAAACAAGCTTTCGCATTAAAAAAAATGATAAAGGAAATTAATCGATGATTTTTTTTTTTTTTTTACTTTTTGAAAGATATGCAATAAGCAGAATGGGAAATATTGGTTCTTCTTGGGCTTCAATTCGAAACATCGGTTTCAAAGTAATAATCTCATTATACCACATTATTTTTATGACATTATTTATGCTATATAAGTTGTTATTATTACCAGTTGTTAGTTCAGCGTGAGATTGGAGATATTTCTTACTTTTCTATTAATTGAAGCATAACTACTGATTATACTTAGTGATATTAACACTTTGTAAACCTTGTACGAGTATTTCTGTGGAAAATTCCAGAACTTTGAAGTGTTTATGATGATAAAATAAATTTAATTAACTATCGTCGGATTTGAGTGAAATGACAATCATTTACGAATTATTATCATCTATTACAAACCCGTACGCACGCAACAATATTATAATTAATTAATGTATTAAAGTTGTTTTGAACGTTTTTACAAAACAAAAACAGGTAAATAAGAATTCTGCTTGCGTTTTTGAGTTTTTGCAATTTTTCTGGCCACATAAGGTTTTTAAAAAAAAGGTTGTAATTTATGTTTATATTTACCAATTGAATAAATAGCACTAGGTTTGATTTATATACATATGTGTGTATCGAAATTCAGTAATAAAATTTTAAAGATTTGAAATGATTAAATATCTATTTAGACAGTTTGTATTCTTTAAACTGCAAATGCAAACTGAGAAACCTTTTGCCTTTTTTCAGTAAATCCTTTTACTTAAAGTCCTAAAACATATACAGGTATGGACTAAATTTTTTATTATTTTTTTTACTGCTTATATAAAATTATATACTTTATAGAAACAAGGATGGGGTTTTGCAAAATACTGAAAGGAAAAAATTATTTGAAAATGAAAAGTGACTGAGATCATATTTGTTTTAAGATTTTAGATAAAAGCGTATTTTCCCCCCTCAGAACTGATTCATTAATTGCAAAATCATTCCTTGGAAGTTATTAAGAACACTCTAATAATAGAAAAAAAACTGGGAGACATTGAAAATTGTAGGAGAAGAAAGACATTTTAATTGTAAAATTTTTCTTCAAAAATTTAAATTAAAAAAATACTAGCAAAAATGCTTTTTCAGCTTAAAATTATTTTGTCTCACAAAACTATTTAATAATATTCAAAAAAAGT